GTTCTTATTGGTGGAGCTTCTCTCATGGAGTGCAGTTCCTGGAGTGTCCACTAGAGGCTGGCTGCAGAAGCACAGGAAGTCACATACACACCCATTCTAAAAAGCCTGTTTTTACAGCAGAGATGAACATGTTTACAGCCTGGTTCAAAAAACCAAATAGGTGTGATTAGCTCATGTCTGGATGGACACACACTGTACGGGGGGTGAATGTTTTGATGACTCATCAGTTTTGATTTGATGAAGGATAAGAGTTATTCACAATAAGGCGTGTAGCTCAACGGTGGATATGTAACAGTAAAGAGGAGGAGCCAGCAGGTGGAGAGCGCTCCTGATGTCCCTCTGTTAGGACTCTTTATAATCCCCTCAGGAACAAGTGCCGCCTCTGACTCCTCCTCTGACTCCTCCTCTGACTCCTCCCCCTCCTCCTGCTCTCCGCATGCAAAGTTAGCGTCTCCATTGCAACTATCATGCTATCATTATCATGCCGTTGCAACTTTCCCCTCGCTCGGAGGCTTTTCATACATTAGAGAGGCAGCGCTGTAAGAGAGGAGATAAATACGAGAGCTAAAAATAGAAACTCTTCAGATGAAAATTTGATGAAAGCCACATTTTTAAGTCAGCACTCGCAGAAAACACGAGTAACTGGAGGGAGGAAAAAATGATGAAAGCGTGAAGATATGAGTTCATATCAGACATCCATAATAAAGCTCGGGGGGGGGGGGGGGGGGGGCAGAGGGCACTGCAGGGCAGGAAGAGGGGCACACTGAGGAGGAGGAGGAGCTAAGAGGACGACATCATCCGCCTTTGTTAAAATCTGAACATGCCAAGAAAGGAGGGAACGTGCATGATGGAGGAGTGTGAGGAGTCAAAGTGAGTGAGAGAAAGGGTGCGTTCAAATTGTCCCTCCTGTCTCCTCTCACGATCCACTTCACCTTTAACCCCGGAAGCATTTAAGTGGCGGCCATGATAAGAGCCGTTTGAATTCTTTAAGTTAAGGAAAGGTGGGTCAATGCTTCCTTTATAACCTCCTTTAGGATACACTGGACCATCCTTTAGGAAAGGAGATGAGATATGACGCCCCAACATTTAAAGCGAGTCGCTCATCCGACCGTTCAGGAACATTAACGATGATCGTAAAGAGATAAAAGATAAGAGACATTTTTATCAGAGGATGTTTGATTCAACATATTTCATTCTCTTGCTTTGTGCTGCTGTACATTTGTATGTTTAAAACATTATGTGTAGGTTATATCTTACATTAATGTAACAATTAATTTCATCCAATCATATTGATGTTGATGTTGATTTCTGATTGGACAGGAAGCTGATGGTTTCACTTTTCTTACTTGTAGCCTGGTAGTCTATATTTCTTTAATTTCAATCCCAACCTCGTGGTGATCAGGATTATTTCACCGGTAAGAAGCACAGGGGAAAGTTTTTTAGATGATCTTTTTGTAGTCCATTTTCTGAACATTGTAGTTTCAACACGGCAGACCCACGTCATCAACCTCCGCCGGCCCGTCACATTTAATGACGTGGCCTAGTGGAAATGTGGTCGGATTGTCAGAGCAACGAGATCGCCTTTCCCTAAGTCCTTTATGAATTCTCCTAACATCTTTCCTTAACCTCATGACGTTTCCCCGGGGTTAAGGTGAAGTGGATAGTGAAGGAGACAGGAGGGACAATTCCAACGCACCCAAAGTCTCGGGGTGCTAAATGTTCATTGAGACTGAACGAGCCTCTGCTCCTCCCTCCGTCCTCATGTTTCACCGCAGCACAGCGAGCGTCCAAACGTAGACATCAAGATTTTATTCTGCCTGACGGTGAAGACTGAGAGGAAGTGAAAATGGAAGAGATCGAGCTCGTTGTGTTTCTGCCGTCAGAGGTTCTAAAAACAAACTGAGAGAACTTTTTATCTTACGGAGTCAGCAGAATGAAAAACTCGCTCCTGAGTGAAGACGATACTCGATTAAGGTCAATTTGTGCATTTCCGAGAACATCTATTGGGAAGCTTCCAGCTTTCTGAGAAACGCTGCCTGCACTAAACGTCCTTAAGTGCTGCTCCTCAGCTGAGCTATTTCTCCAGATCAGCAGAGAAAAAGGAGGCGTGGTCTCTCGCGTCGGGTTGTTTGATGATCCTGTGTTCTTCCAAACAGACGTGAAGCTCTGACAGAAAAGTCCAGCAGCTGCTGATGTTCCTGTGCAACAAGGCATAGACTTCAAGGGCAGATCATTCTCGTCTAATGTGGCAGGAAGGAGTCTTAATACGTCCAGACAGGCGGGGCTTCAGAAGGTCGACCCGAGATCAAATCAAATGATCAGAATTCTTAAGCAGCCAGAATCAAACGATACTTCATACAACGTGCTCAAAGTTGAAGCTGAGAATACGACTTCCTCATACGACCATATATGGGATTAAAGTTGACCCCCATCAGGTTAGATTAAAGGAGCAATATGTAACTCTGACACCTAGTGTTTAAAACGGGTACTGCAGTCCAGATACACACACACACACACACACACACACACGCACACGCAAAGATCCTTTCACTTTCTCACTCTGAGTCCAGGACCGGAGAGACTGGGGGGGGGGGGGGCTCAGATTGGATCTGTCAGCGTCATGCCGTGTGAGGTGTGTCAGCCGGGCGGATGTCTGCAGGCAGAGTAGTTCTCACTAAAGCCGTGTAAGCTCACATAAATCTCTTGGCTGGAGGAGATTTATTTCTCTGCCAACAACAATCCCCCCGAGGGAGGCTGAAGTTTGATGTCCTCTGTGTGGGGGATCCAGATTTGTAAGGGGGGGGGACATGTGGTCATACTGACCCGAGGAGAGAGCTCCACGCTCTGAGCTGTCACATATTCCATCATCCAATCAGAAATCTCTGATTCTTGGGGCGCGCTGGTGGTGCAATGGTTAAGGCGCGCGTCCCATGCATTGAGACTCTCGTCTCGAGCGGTAGGGTTCACTTCCACCCATGGCCCCTTTCCACATGTCATTCCCCTCTCTCCCTGGTTTCAGACTCTATCCACTGTCCTCTCTCTCTCTCTGGTTTCAGACTCTATCCACTGTCCTCTCTCTCTCTCTGGTTTCAGACTCTATCCACTGTCCTCTCTCTCTCTCTGGTTTCAGACTCTATCCACTGTCCTCTCTCTCTCCCTGGTTTCAGACTCTATCCACTGTCCTCTCTCTCTCTGGTTTCAGACTCTATCCACTGTCCTCTCTCTCTCTCTGGTTTCAGACTCTATCCACTGTCCTCTCTCTCTCTCTGGTTTCTGACTCTATCCACTGTCCTCTCTCTCTCTCCTGGTTTCAGACTCTATCCACTGTCCTCTCTCTCTCTGGTTTCAGACTCTATCCACTGTCCTCTCTCTCTCTGGTTTCTGACTCTATCCACTGTCCTCTCTCTCTCTGGTTTCAGACTCTATCCACTGTCCTCTCTCTCTCTGGTTTCAGACTCTATCCACTGTCCTCTCTCTCTCTGGTTTCAGACTCTATCCACTGTCCTCTCTCTCTCCTGGTTTCTGACTCTATCCACTGTCCTCTCTCTCTCTGGTTTCTGACTCTATCCACTGTCCTCTCTCTCTCCCTGGTTTCAGACTCTATCCACTGTCCTCTCTCTCTCTCTGGTTTCAGACTCTATCCACTGTCCTCTCTCTCTCTCTGGTTTCAGACTCTATCCACTGTCCTCTCTCTCTCTGGTTTCAGACTCTATCCACTGTCCTCTCTCTCTCTGGTTTCAGACTCTATCCACTGTCCTCTCTCTCTCTCTGGTTTCAGACTCTATCCACTGTCCTCTCTCTCTCTCTCTGGTTTCAGACTCTATCCACTGTCCTCTCTCTCTCTCTGGTTTCAGACTCTATCCACTGTCCTCTCTCTCTCTGGTTTCTGACTCTATCCACTGTCCTCTCTCTCTCTGGTTTCAGACTCTATCCACTGTCCTCTCTCTCTCTGGTTTCTGACTCTATCCACTGTCCTCTCTCTCTCAGACTCTATCCACTGTCCTCTCTCTCTCAGACTCTATCCACTGTCCTCTCTCTCTCAGACTCTATCCACTGTCCTCTCTCTCTCTCTCTCAGACTCTATCCACTGTCCTCTCTCTCTCAGACTCTATCCACTGTCCTCTCTCTCTCTGGTTTCAGACTCTATCCACTGTCCTCTCTCTCTCTGGTTTCTGACTCTATCCACTGTCCTCTCTCTCTCTGGTTTCAGACTCTATCCACTGTCCTCTCTCTCTCTGGTTTCAGACTCTATCCACTGTCTCTCTCTCTCTGGTTTCAGACTCTATCCACTGTCCTCTCTCTCTCTGGTTTCTGACTCTATCCACTGTCCTCTCTCTCTCTGGTTTCTGACTCTATCCACTGTCCTCTCTCTCTCCTGGTTTCAGACTCTATCCACTGTCCTCTCTCTCTCTCTGGTTTCAGACTCTATCCACTGTCCTCTCTCTCTCTGGTTTCAGACTCTATCCACTGTCCTCTCTCTCTCTGGTTTCAGACTCTATCCACTGTCCTCTCTCTCTCTGGTTTCAGACTCTATCCACTGTCCTCTCTCTCTCTCTGGTTTCAGACTCTATCCACTGTCCTCTCTCTCTCTCTCTGGTTTCAGACTCTATCCACTGTCCTCTCTCTCTCTGGTTTCAGACTCTATCCACTGTCCTCTCTCTCTCTCTGGTTTCTGACTCTATCCACTGTCCTCTCTCTCTCTCTGGTTTCAGACTCTATCCACTGTCCTCTCTCTCTCTGGTTTCTGACTCTATCCACTGTCCTCTCTCTCTCAGACTCTATCCACTGTCCTCTCTCTCTCAGACTCTATCCACTGTCCTCTCTCTCTCAGACTCTATCCACTGTCCTCTCTCTCTCTCTCTCAGACTCTATCCACTGTCCTCTCTCTCTCAGACTCTATCCACTGTCCTCTCTCTCTGGTTTCTGACTCTATCCACTGTCCTCTCTCTCTCTCTGGTTTCTGACTCTATCCACTGTCCTCTCTCTCTCTGGTTTCTGACTCTATCCACTGTCCTCTCTCTCTCTGGTTTCTGACTCTATCCACTGTCCTCTCTCTCTCTCTGGTTTCTGACTCTATCCACTGTCCTCTCTCTCTCTGGTTTCTGACTCTATCCACTGTCCTCTCTCTCTCTGGTTTCTGACTCTATCCACTGTCCTCTCTCTGCATTAAAGGCACGAAAAGCCCAAAGTAAATCTTTTTAAAAAAAAGTGTCAAACAAACCTGAGTCTCAACCAAGCGAGACCCTCCGGTGTTTCAAAAATGAAGCCGATGCTGAAGTGTATAAATCCTGCAGTTCCTCGAGTGTCCTCTAGAGGCTGGCTGCAGAACACAGGAAGTCACATACACACCCATTCTAAAAAGCCTGTTTGGTCCTCTGGGTTTCAGGTCCAACCTGCGCCCTCTCTCTCTCTCTCCCTCTCCCTCTCCCTACCTCTCTCTCTCTCTCTCTCTCTCTCTCCTCTCTCTCTCTGTTCGTGGATGGAGGAAGTCTAGGACTTTCTGTTGCAGTGGAATCAAATCATGTGTCGATGTTGACTTTTTACGAGCATCGATTATCGTAGAAAGTGGGGAATGACGGATTTGAACCCCGGCCGTGCCTCTCATGAGGGTTTAAGCCTCTCTATATGGGGCGCACACTAACCGCTAGACTACCGGCGCCAGAGACAGAGCACCCGTCTGAGTTGCACAAACACATTGGTAACAACATATTAGTGCAACTCAGTTTGTGTGCAGGAGTTTGTGACTTAAAGACAAGAAATGACAAAACACCGGCTGCCTAAGACTTCTCAGTATCTATTTAAATATTGAGTATATGTTTTAAATAAGGCGTGATAGTGACCCTGCTGCCTCTTTGGAGGGGGATTGAACCAGCACACAGCTGGATGAGCAGCTGGAGAGGATCCAGATCCCCTCCAGGCTGACACATCATCTCTCTCTCCTCCAGTTATCACTCACACACAGGCAAGCCACAGACATGCGTAATGGAGCTGGTTAAGACTGGCACGTGAACCATTAATAAGAGGTTGCTTAATTAATTGCACGCCCCCCCCCCCTCCCCCTCCCCGACCTGCACGCCCCCCCCCCTCCCCCCTCCCCCTCCCTGACCTGTTCCTCTGAAACACGTGAAAGTCTACAGAAATGAATCAAAGCCACGTTCTGTCTGTATGGATGTAAAGACATGAAGCTGTGATGCTGCAGGTGATGTGGAGACACTCCGTGATCGTGGGTCCGGTTTGTGAACACGGGGTTTCCTCACCGGGTATTAACGAAGTACTTGAAGGCGCTAATCGACTAATCGATCCCTCCCTTCATCCATCAGAACCGGAAGATCCATCAGAACCGGAAGATCCAGCCGGTGAGAGGCGGACATTACAGCCGGGAAACTGTCGGTTCACTCACCGTGTCTGCAGCGGGGGTCGGCGGCTGTTAGCCGGTGAAGAGTCGATTAACCGATGTTCTCTCCGCAGCACACGGTGAAGGTCAGCTCGCAGAGGAGGGGGACGGCTCGGTCCGGACGGGTCCGCAGGTGGAGGTGTTCATTTACATGCGGCTCGTGCTGCTCCACTCCGGCTGCTCCGCGCGGACGAATGACAGCCAGCGGGCGAGACTCACGAAGGAGGAGGATGTTGTTTCCGCACGGAGGTTTTAAAGTGAGACACCACCAAAGCGTGGGCTGCGTTCCGTTTCTCTCAGCTGTTCTCTGACATAATGACGGCCTCAAACCTTTTTCAACAGGACTCCGACAATACAGGGAAGAGAACAGAGAACACACAGAGTCAGAACATAAAGATTGAAATCATTAAAAAGAGAATCTGAAGAGGTTTTACACCTGTTCAGGTATCTACAGGTGAGGCTCTGTGACTCTGTGATAATGCCTAATGATCTGCATGTCAACAGGTAAGGCAGGTAACAGCGGGGGGGGCTTAAACCAAAGCAGTGGCCAAAAATGTGCAAATTTTGCAATGACAACAGAAACCTCCCTAAGGGGCCCCATCTGACAGCATCACATGCATTAAAAAAATTGAAGAGGAAATATCCGTCTACAGGAGAGAAAAAAGAGGATAAGGAGTAAGCGTCGGGACACTGGCAGCCATGATGGTGATGGTTGGAGGGCCCCCCAATTGATTCTTGCTTAGGGCCCAAAGAGACCCTAGAATCGCCACTGTCTGTGTGCGAGCTCAGCCGGCCATAACAGAATCAAGTGCAAACCACCAGGAGTCACAGTAGCTGTTGGGCCCCCCTTGAAATCTTATTGGCCGCCCGGCAGATGGAAGACGGAGAGGATGGACTTTTCTCATCATTGGGGGGTTTGTAGACGGACTAGAGACACATGTTAGAGTCAGAGGAACATGGAGAAGTGGATTTTAAATATGTGACCTTTAAATGTAAACAACATTCAATTTACTGAAACCCGGCCACAGAGACTTCATTGTGTGTTTACAGAAATAAAAATTAAATAAAGTTATGGAGAAAATGTATTTTTTTGATTCCCCAATAAAAAGGGAAGTATTTTATTTAAACAGCTTTTTGAATTAACTTGAAACATCCTCTGTAAAAAACAAACAAGCTATGTGACCGCGATAATCAAATGAAGATCACATTAACGGTCGCAGGTTTCCCCTCGACTTCTTTCTTCACTTTACAGCAGGAGTTTTATTTCCATCTTTATTATTGTGTTTTTTTCTGCTGCTTATTGATTGGTCTTTTAATATTTTATCAAGCTTGTTGAGCGTTCAGATTAAAATGTCCCCGTGGCGTCCTGTACCTGTGATAGAGGTTAAAAACATCCAGAGACAAACGACGGCGCTGCTTCATGAGGAGAAGAAGAACAGAAACAACACGAGGTGAACGGGTTCTAAATAAAAACAACAAAACAAATAAAAACAGAACTGAGGGTTTGAAAACGTCCGTCATATCTTCAGTTTGTCGGGGCGTCATCCGGCTCTCAGCGTGAAGTCGGACAGACAGATGGACACGTCGCCAACACGCCTGGAGACGGAGGTTAAGGAGCAGAAAGAGATACAGTAATGACCCCGTGTTGTTCTCAACACGCTCAGAGAGATTAATCGAGACGCACAACACGGACGTTCAATACATGGCGAGAGAAAATCGATGAGGAGACTCAGCTGCTGACATTTGAAGTGCATTCTGGGTGTTCTTCAGCCTGTGTGTGTTGGACCCTCACAGGAGCGTGCTTCAGCTTCCTGCAGGATGTGAGCGTTGGAGTACAGCATGTCAGCCTGTGTGTTTGAGTGAGTTTCACTTGATTGGAGGGATACAAGACGTCGCTCTGCAGACTCTGGCTGCAGCTCTCGGCTTGTATCTGCAGGTCGAGTGACTCCACCACACTCATCACTCTCAGCCTGTCCTCCACTGAGGGCGGGGGCTGCAGGACGCCGTCGAGGATCTGCAGAGAAGAGCGAGAACTTTGTTTGTTTTTTAGAGGAAGAAGAGAGTCGGAGCAGCACAGTGAGGAAAAGGGACAACTTTTAGTACGATGAAGATACGGAGACCAAACCTTAAAGGAGCAGTATGTAACTCTGCCCCCTGGTGTTTAAAATGGGTACTGCAGTCTAAATTCTAAACATCATATAGAGCTGTCTCCCCCCCCCTCCTCTCTCGAGTGGATGCTCATGCAGGTCACCATGTGGTGGACTCTGAAGCTTCAGTGTTTATCCAGCTCTGCATGGGTCTGGATAATGCTTGTGTGCTTAAAGTGTATGCACACACACATGCATGGCTCGACACACACAAACACACACATGAACGCACACTCAGCAGAAAGTCATGTCAGGACTCACAGGGAGGAGTTAGACTGTGACTATGAAACCAGAGATCAGAGACAGAAACACAAACTGAGATTTCCCCTCAGTCAGTCATGCAGATCTCATTTTAACTTAAGTGTGTGTGTGTGTGTGTGTGT